AAAATATCTATTTTCACCATGTTTTGAAGTTTTGTTAAGTTTTTTCACACCGCCAAATAAAAAGCTAAGTTTTTCACTTCGGAAAGTGCGAAGGTTATGCGAAAACTGTCGCATATTCATCGCATAACTGTCCATATGTGAAGGTTATGCGAAAAACTGTCGCATAACTGTCGCCTATCAATTGCATAACTGTGCGAAGGTTATGCGAAAACTGTCGCATATTCATCGCATAACTGTCCATATGCGAAGGTTATGCGAAAAACTATCGCATATCAATTGCATAACTGTGCGAAGGCATTGTGCGATGAATATGCGACAATTTTCGCATAACCTTCGCACTTTCTAGGGTGAAAAACTTAACTTTTTATTGGGCGGTGTGGAAAAACTTAATTTGTCTTTGTTATGGTGTGAAAAAGATTTTTTTCCTATCGTATATAGGGTGTACATAACGCTCACATTTACTGGGACCTACCAAAATTAAAAAATCAAGTGGACTCACTGCATGTGAGTGTTATGTACACCTCTATGAACATTTATTATGTACTTGTAGCATTTTTTAAATAAAAAATCTAGAGGATCCCACTACATGTGAGTGCTATGTACAACTCTATGTACATAAGTACTTGTAATATTTTTCAAATAAAAAATCTAGTGGACCCCAATGTATGTGTACTTATAGTATTTTCCGTGATTAGAATATGGGATAGGAGTATTAGATGAAACAAATTTTGGATCCAAATTCAGGTATGATAGAACAAATTCACTCACTCAAATATATTGTAAAATTTCATTTATTAGTAAATAGCTTATGGGTAAAAAGATTTTACCTTAACACGTTGCTAGTAGATTCAATTATGAGTAAGACTGATATCAGACAAATCTAACTGTTAGACAATATGTCATAATTAAAAACCAACATACATATGACCAGAATTGACGTGCATAGGTTAGGCGGCATCGCATAAGAGTTCGTATTCGATCTATATATGAATGATAAATTGAAGCATTACCATATTTAGATCAAATTTTGAAATAACAATGTTGATCATGGGCTCATTCTAGACAAATTGTAAGTACAAGTTATATTTTTTTTTTTAATTTATATAAATGATAAAAAAGGATTTTGAGATTTGTACACATTTCAAGAACATGTTATATGGGAAAATGCTACAATCACGTTACAGAACCATTTCGTCGGGATCAAGGGCGGATGCAGGTCTCACACACACGAGGGGCACAATTTTTTTTATTATTTTAATAAATAATAATATTTTTTTTATCTTTTAATTTACTTTCTTTTTTAAGAATGAGATAGAAGGTGAAGTTACAGAAACTTTAAATATTTAAATATAGGGTTGGTCTTGTGTTAGACACTACATTACGTCGACGTACTTTTTAACAAATATACATTTTTTTATTAGAAAAATGTCATAAATATGCATGTTTGTTTGAAAAAGTATGGCAAATCAATCCATGGAATGGTTAGACTGCCTCACATAAGACTTTGTGTTTAAATATAAACATGTTAATATATTTAGTCGGAATGATTGATAATCAACCATCATATATTTGAAATTATGATATTACTTTTAAATTATATTCTTATTATAATAATATTATGGTACATAAAATAAACATCCAAAAGTGTAATTATGTGTACTAAAATAGATATTCAAAAGTATAAATATATGTAAATATACAAAATATTTAGAAATTGCACAGCGGCATGTGCCCCTACATGCCCCTATTTAAGTCCGCCACTGGTCAAGATTTGTAACCAGTAGATCATAATGTAACTGTTGTGGATAGTTGATATAACGGTTACCAACTTCGACGAAGTGATTCCGTAACAAGAACGTAGAATCTCCCCGTTAAATGTACATGCCTTGGCCTACTTTGTTAATTTCACAACAAATTATGGGAAAAGGAGTACAGTAGAGCTGGCATGCATAGTTGTAAATTAGTACGCACGTACACGCGGTTTCTCGAGAAATTGCGAGTGCTTTTTATTATATTTTATCCTGCCAGCTTACTACTGTAGTGTACCTTTTATGGGTTCGTTTTGTCTGAAAGTGCCAACTGGGGAAAAATATGAAGTAAATATATGCACGCATAATCAAATGCATTATGTATACAATAACATTTGCATTTAATTGTGTAAAAGAGAGAAGATGTTATGGTCCCGCTACAGCTACGCAATTATTCTGTCGAGGTTGTAACCGTTAGATCAACTATTTCTGATGGTTACATGATGATCTAACAGTTATAAACCCGACTGAATGATTCTGTAACGAGACCTTAGCATTTTCCGTAAAAGAGACTATTATTAGGCTCAAATTTAGCAGACCCCCTAATAGATTAGTGAGCTTTTGTTGTTTTCACAGTTCAAAAATTTAACAAACCGTGGGGATTGGTGAATAATGAATAGAGAGTATTTCAATTGAGATGAGTTTTATTCAAAGCGATAACAATAACATACATATGGATAGTTGGCCTGAGGTGAGTCGATCTCGAGCCTTTAACGAGGCAAACTGAGCTCGGCTTGATAACTAAACCACTTAGTAATTGAGGTTGGGTTTGCCTCGTTTCTCAATATTAACAAGTTGATCTGAGTTTTTTAACGAGTCAAACTCGAGTCTTAACAAGTCAATCTCTATAGAAAATAATATAAAAAAAATCTTATTTTCATATGTGGTACGGTCTGTAAATTGCACTATCATTTTTATTTTTTTTTTTTTTTTTGCTTTTTAATAATATTTCAAATGTTATGTAATGGTTTTTATTATAATGTATTTGTGATGATGAAAGATTAATGTACTAAAGCATTTAGGCCATTCGAGAAAGTACCAAATGGAGTCATAGTGTCATATGGCCTAATTATTTTTTCTTGTACCAAAAGGTTTCACGTGAAGTGTCCAAGTTCAACAGACCAAATGTGAAAGAAAAGAGAGAAAAAGGGTGTCTCAATTGAACTGTGAGACGGTGTGGGCTCAAATACCATGCACCTACCTTAAGATATCGGGAACGACTGAAGTCTCGTTGACAAAATGGTTTCATCACAATTTGTTAGCGTAGATTATCTATACACAGGGGCGAACGCAAACTTTAAGTACAACGGGAGCACAAACTACGGTTAACGGTCAATGCCGAAAATCAACGGTCAAATCAATATTTAACTAATTAAAAAAAGTAATAAGATTAAATCTTGGCTAGACACATTTTTATTATTTAATAACTAGAGTTGAATCTCACGTTTGATTTCAAGAATAGGAACAAATTTGATTCAATCACTATATAGTATTATACATCATTTTTTTATGTATTTTCGGATGAAAAAGGAAATAAACAAGTAGTTGAATATAACATAAGCATAAGTTCCACAATTTAAAAAATAATATATTGGTTAAATAATTTTAAACATTTTCTTTTTATTTTTTATATTTAAATAACTTTGTATAATAATTAAATAACATGTATTTTTTTGTCAATATAATAATAGATTTATACATAATATGTGCATATATATATACTATTTTACTAAAAATTCTACAGGTGCCCGTGCCCCTACGGGGCTATGTAGATCCGCCATTGTTCACACAACATAACACACTTTTCTTATCCATTCGAAAAGGGATTTAGCATTTTCCTAAATTATCATGAGGGAACATTAAATAGTGGCATGAAAAGGAGAGGGTTATCTTATATCAAAACTAATAGATATCCTGTGCAAATGCACATATGTAAATAAAATATTATAAGTAATATTTGAGTATTTAATATTAAAATTCTAGATAATGAATATATTACATTTTCAGAAATGATTATTAGGAAAAATAAATTAACGATTTTATTATTATGAACAATTGTTTATTATCATTAGATAATAATAGTTTGATAATTATTATTATTATTATTATTATTATTATTATTATTATTAAAAAATTGTTTATAAGCTTCTAAAGTTGTTTGACTGTCCTATTAAAACAATTTAGTAATTGTTTTTAAATAATTTTTTTCATGAGATACAAATAAAAAGATAATATTGATGTTAAAATAAATAACTTGAAGCAATTACTTTTATATTTATTGTGAATTATTATTAGTTGGTATTCACAATAACTATTATATTATATAATAGAAACATAGATAATTACACTCAATATGATGTATTAATGTGAGAAATAAAAAATATTAATGATAAATTTTATAACCGAAAATGGAGAGAAAACTTTAGAGGTTTTATTAAATAAGTTTTATTAAATGCTATATGCTAGCAATTATATATATATAGATTTGACCAAAAATTCATCTCTAACCAATGAGCAATATATTTATACATTTGTTCGTCACTGTAAGTACTATGAAAATAAATAAAAATAAATCTCAAAGCCAATACATACGCTGCAAAATAATAGTTATATTCCAATAGAAAATCCTATGGTAATATATTCTAAATAAAATTCTAGCGGATATTTCAATGGTATAACTTCTGTAGAAATTTCCATTAGAATTTTTATTTCCACCCTCGTTGAAAAATACACCGTTAGAATCGTCAAAACCCAACGGAAATTCCAATAAAAAACTCATTCCAACGGAATATTTTTGTTGGAATTATTGAAAAATTCTAATAGAAATAATAGTATTAAAATATCTATTGGAATAACTCTATTAGAATATATTTCCATTGGAATTTCATCATTTTCTTGTAGTGATAATACAAAATGCATGGATGGTTAGATGAAGAGCAGAGAGCCATCATCTTATTTAAACTTTTGACTATAAAAGTCAATTTCCTAATTTCCTAATTTAAAAAAAAGATGTCTGGTGTAAAATATAAAAAAGAACTTTTAAAAATGTATCTTCCACAAAAAAAAAAAAAAAAAAAAAAAAAAAAA